TTAACAATTTAAATTTCTCAGTTTTTGGTCTCTAGAAACTAAAATATTCGTTTTATAAAAAAATTTCAAAGGAAAAAAAGATGCGCCTTTTAATTTCCTATAATGTAGTACTTTTCAAAATTCAAAATTTTGAATTTCAATTTTTATCACTTTTTCAAATGTTTGACTGGCTCTACGGAGTCCATCCGAGCGGAGAGCGAGTTTTACTTTCCAGCTCCTCATATGCGTCAGCGACATCAGGCAACGGGATAATTGAAATTTTTGTCAATTTTTTAATTAAAAAGTATCAGGTACACGATCATGTTAAAAGTTCCAGTGATTCGCCCATAAATGTTGAATTTTATCGTGTATAGCATCTTTACAATCATCTGAAATGGTCATGTACAATAGTAAATAGATTCCAATTGTGAAAACAAGTTCCAGATGATTGATTCTTTAAAGTGATCCAGTAATTACTTATACCAAGGTGACGATGATTTTCCGATGTGATTATTTATATATAAGATCATCTTTTATCATAAATACATGATCTCATGGCTTCCTGACAATGCACATAATTTTTTTTTTATTTCTACAAACTCTCATTATCAAATGTCAATTGATTTTGACACTCTAAAGACATTAAATATGAATAAATTATTTATTTTTAAAGAACAATGGTTATATAAATAAAAAATAAAATCGATAATAAAAAACTTGTTAACAACAACAACTTTATAGAATTCTTTAAAGTAATTATTTGAATTTTAATTCCTTTAAATTTTGTAATAATTTCACATTTAAAAATTATCCCTCATAACAAAAGCATATCCCTAGGATATACATAGGATATCCATATCAACGGTCGATATCCTAGAATGGTCCCCAGGATATCTTGGGATATCCCTAGGATATACAAACCGCCAGTCAGTGGAACATCAACAGGACATCCATAGGATATCCACAGGATATCCCTTAGACATCCACAAAATATCTATTGGATATTATATCGCAGGATATCCATGGGATATCCAGAGGATAACCTAACCGCCGATTTTTTGGATATTAGGGATATTAGGGATTGTTCTATTTTTTTAAATTTTTATTTATAACTGAAAAATTTTGATTCTTTAAACTCAGAAAATTTATTGAAATATTGAAATTTTTTTCAAATTAGCGAACTATGCATAATATATATAATATACAAAAGGGTAAACAATAATAATTCTTGTAAGAGGTTCAAAGCAATTTAGACCCCCGGGGCAAGTTCACCTGACTTTTTCAAATTGCTTCTTATAACAATTGAAGAAAGAATTTATCATTGTTTCTAAACATATTTACACACATCACGCTTGAAATTATCCCAGATGAAACATTGAGCGAAATACTCTTTGACTGACATTCTCTTTATATTCTGTCATATATATATATACAAAAGTTACAAGACATTTCAGAGTGCAGCTCGATCGTTTTAATAAATCAAGAAATGTGATATATAAGCCCCGAAGCGTGCACTCCACTTCGCAGGTTTAAATATATTCGTCGATTAATATATCGAGTGTTGATGACCTCATGATCAGGTAGAAATTAAATTCCAATTCTAAAGTTTACGAATTTATAATGCTTGTCATTATCAATTTGTTATTAAGCTTGAAATGAACGTGGAAAAATTTTTTTAAAGTTTTTTTAATAAATTATTGTAAATATTTATATTTTTTTAATACACGGAGAAAAATGGGATTGTTGTGCAAACAATTTTTGGATTGTTATCAGTAGATTTGTGGATATTACAATTCGAAATGTTAATATTACAATTCGGATTGTTGTCAATACAAATGTATGTTGTTTTAACAATAATACGAATTTTTTGGCCCATATATATATTATGTTAAATTTCTTTCAAACTGTTATTATAAATTTGTTAATAATGTTTAGAGCCCACACAGCACATAAAATTTCCTGAATTTGTCCTGAATATTTCATTGAAAGATTCAAAATATTTCAATGAAAGGTCCATGAAATTTTGATGCAAGCAATGAAATGTCCGCCTATAAGAAATATTGCAGTTCCGATTGTACGAAAAATTTCAGTAAAATGTTGAGGAAATGTGAGGATGAAAAATTACTGACATATTATTTTTTAATATTTGCAAAATAAAAAAATGAAATATGTTACAAATTTTTAAGTGTTTACTATCGGTCAACTAATTTTGTCACATATTTTCACAATCACTACCGCAATTTATTTCTGTAATTCATTTTTTTTATTTTTTACAAATATATCCGGATGATATTGCCTAAATATGTATTTTTAACAATTTAGAAATATTTCCTTTCGATATTTCTAGAATTTTAATGAATAATCTTTTCAAAATATTTCACTTAAAAATTTGTAACATATTTCATTTTTTTATTTTGCAAATATTAAAAAATAATATGTCAGTAATTTTTCATCCTTACATTTTCTGAACATTTCGCTGAAATTTTTCGTACAATCGGAACTGCAATATTTCTTATAGGCGGACATTTCATTGCTTGCATCAAAATTTCATGGACCTTTCATTGAAATATTCGAGTCTTTCAATGAAATATTCAGGACAAATTCAGGAAATTTTATGTGCTGTGTGGGAGGCCTTTTACAGTTAAGATGTTTATTTATTGGTTGACATAACGTTGTTACGACATGTTTCGGCTATTTAGCCCTCATTAGGTAAGCCAATGCACTTTTCAAATAAGTATAAGTATAACAAACATATAAGACAAACACGTAAGTAAAACAAAATCTGTAATAAATAGATTTCGATATTATTTATTAAATTAGAAAATAAAATTATTAAAATTAAAAGAATAAAAGACTTACCACGTGTTCGATCACATTATTTTAATTTATTAGTTTGATTAATTTATTTAATTTAAAAAATTAAAAATTTGAAAAATTTAAAATTTAAAAAAATTCAAATTTAAGAATCCATGGTGAAACATGTAGTAACAACGTTATGTCAAACAATAAATAAACATCTTAACTGTAAAAGGCCTCTAAACATCATTAACAAATTTATAATTAAAACAGTTTGAAAGAAATTTTACATTTTTATTTTTACATTATACATTCTAATCGAGAATGTGTAATTAATTAATTTACTTGGAATGTTAATAATTAATTTTTTTTTTTTATTGAAATATTGATAAATTAAAAATTTTCTACACGATTTAGATAAAATAAAAATTTAATTCGAAAATTATAACTTACTGATTAATTAACTTATAAGGTAAATTTCATTATTGGAAATTGAAATGACTAATAAACTGAATGAAATAAACGTGTAAGAAGATCTTATTTATACGCGTTGATTATTAGTAATAAATAAGAGTTCAATGTGTATTTTTTTTTAATAACTGTAGTTATAAACAACTTGAGCGCACTTTAAATCGAGAAAATGAAGTTCGTCCAGTAATATCAATCGATAATTACATCTTCACTGAATTTCATAACATTTCATAATATACTAAATATATATATATATATATAAGTATCGAATGCTTCATACTATATGTGAAAGTTCGATTATCAATAATTATCTAAAGAAATACACTCAGAATTTCTTTATACGTTGATTTAAGAATATTTTTTTTTTAAATAAAATATATTTTATAAATTTTATAAAATTATATTTTTTAAATGAAATTTAATAATTTAATAATAAATTCAAATTTAAATAAACAAATTTTAAAATAATTTTAATGTCAAAATAATAAAACAATTGACATGAATTAATTTTTAAAATTTTAGAAATGAATTTTTTCTTTTGTTTCCAGTGGATTCGATATGAAAATTAAAATTTGCATATTCTATCTAAAAAACATAAAAAAAATGATTAATTTTGGTATAAAATCGTATCGTTTTTTTTTTTTGAAAATTTTTCGAAAAAATTCTAAGGATACAATAAAAGTTTTAACCCCTTCACAGTCTAGTAGAAAAATCGTTTGTAGGTCCAAAACGGTCAAAAAAAAAGTTTCCAAAAAAATATCATATCATCGTATTAAAAGTTTTTGTGATCGCTGAATCCAAATTTAAGGTCAGATTTAAAAAATTCAAAATGGCGGACCCAAGATGGCGGAAAAATTTTAAGTTGATTCGATTTGTTCAAAATTTGGTACTCGGGGGTTTTTGGCGTCGCTGAATCCAAAATTGAGGTCAAATTTGGATTTTTGACCCCAAGAACCCCCGAAAACCAAATTTTGATCGAATCGAATTAATTTTAAATTTTTCCGCCATTATGTGGCCGCCGTTTTTAATTTTTTAAATCTGACCTCAAATTTGTATTTAGCGACCCCAAAAACCCTATAGGAACCATCTTTATGCAAATCTAGTTAATTTTTTAATTTTTTGGACATTGACACTCAAATTGAATTATTATGTTTAGTATTTTTTTCTAATGTGTCCAAAATCACAAAGGTGGCACGACTTTTTTTGGACATATATGTGCCATCAACTTAATGTTTAAATTACAAAAAATCTAGTAAATTATTTTTCGGTAATTTTTTGCATCAAATTTTTGAAAAATTGACATAAAATTTCAAAATGAAAAATTTTTTTTAATAATGCATTTTTAAAAAAGTTATGAACATTCAAAAAAAAAGATCTTTAAAAAACTGAAAATTTTTTAGGAAAATTATATCTCGTAAACGGTTTGATAAAAAAATTTGAAAAACATATTAGAACCCATTTTCGTAGTATATAAAATTTTTTTTTTTAAATTGTAGCCAAATCAAAAGTGTCAAAGTCAATTATATATTTCTCTTTGTTATTATTATTAGGTATTTATATTTATAAATGAAAAAAATAATAAAATAATGTCTAATTTAAAAATTACATATCTCTAAATTAATATGTAAATTAGTAAAAAATTTTGAATTAATCTGAATTAGTGATCGACTTTTTGTTCATATGAACTAGTTAAAAAAAAAACTATACTGAGGCTCTTGGAATAAAGGGAAATAAAAAAATCGACCATATAAAAATTATGAAGTAAAAAGATGTTTATTATTATAATTTCATACACTTATTAACTATACATCTATGTATATAATATATAATAGTATAAAAAAAATTAAAGCACATTTTTTTAGAAAATGATGATTCGAAAAAATAATAATAAAAAAAAAAACCTTTGTTTCTAATAATTTAACATTTCTTACTAAAAAAAAAACGTTTTCTCAAATAAAGAGAATTTTGTTAAATTTTCTCCTTTTTTTTCATAACAATAGTTTACAACAAAGTCAAGTAAAATTTTAGAAAAGCTTATTATATGACACGAGCATTTCTAAAACGAATTGACTCACATAATTAGAATATTTGCAATGATGCGATGTTTCATTATTTTGTGATATTTTAAATATAAATATACATACAATTTTAAATTTATAAAAAAAATTATATGTTTAAATATATTTTTCTTTTCTCACTTGTATCTACGATAAGGATTTGATCCATAATTATTATATTGTTGTCTGTTGTATTGTTGTTGTGGTCGATTATATTGTTGTTCATCGTATGCACCCTCATTAGTTTGTGGAAGTGTGGCTAATGCTCTTTGAATTGCATCGGGAATTGGTGGTGGTGTTGGCAAATGTGCTCCACTTGCTCGAAAACCATTTTCATCGGCAATATATTCAACTGTTATTGGTGTTCCATCGGGAGCTGTGTACGAATATCTTCCTTGAACCACCTAAAATTGCAAAAAAAAAAAAAAAAAAAAAATTTGTAAATTAAAAATTTTTTTAAAAATGTTTTTGACAATTTTCAAAATTTTTATAGTATTGAAATTTTTTTTTTAAGCCGAATTTTCATTTCTTCGAATTTATATTCTAAAAAACTTTTAAAACGCCGAATTTTTATTTTACAGAATTTTCATTTGTTCGAATAAATATATGGCAGACAAATTTAAACGCAACAAACAATAATTTTATTAAATTTAAATCCGATGAAGTAAAAATTCTAATAAATTAATTTTAGAACTTATTCATGCGTTTCGGGATGGGGGGGCATTACACGTAAAATTTTCATTGAACATTTTTTTTTTGACTGAATAATTTTTTTTTTTTTTTTGAAATCTTTATGGAAGAAAAATTATGGAAGTTATAATTTTTTAAAATTTCATGTTAACAGAAGTAGATTAATTTTGAAATGTATTTTTCTCTGTCTTACTAACAGATGAAAGAATGAAAAAAATTATAACTTTAATAAATGTTTTCATTAAATAAGAGAAATAAAAATATACCTTTTTTTTTGCGATTTTCCACAAAAATTTCGTAAAAAAATGTTCCAGTAAAAAAAAAATTTTTTTTTGAATAACATTTTCATGTGAAATGCGCTATATATTATATCTTTATTTATTCTTTCTGCCTAAATATTAAACCTATATTTTGAGAAAATTAAAAAAAAATAAAATAATTTTTTTTGAAATAAAAAAAGAATTAAAAAAGAACATTTTTGGAAAAAAATTAATAATAAATAATATATAGGTAGAAAAGTAAAATTTTAGCAAAAAAAAAAAAAATTAAATAAAAAATAAAATAAGTGTGAAAATTTTTATTAATAGAAAAAATTAAATAAAAAGAATCCAAGCTACAAAAATCTCCCCTTCCCAAAAAAAGTAAATAAAAAAAGGAATATTTATATATATAAAGTAGTAATTCATCCCATGCAAAAAATATATTTTTCTTATTAAAATATTATTATTAATAAATATTATATTAAATAATAATAATAATATTTATTAGTATTATTATTATTATTATTATTTAAAATATTTAAATAATATTTTTTGACGTTTTAATCATTAAATTTAAAAACATAATCAAAATAAAATTCGTCATATTAAAATAAAAGTAATAATAAAAAAAAAAATAGATTAATTAAACAAATAAATATCAGAAAATATTAAATTAATAAATACTTATAAATCTAGCTAAAATATTCATTTGAAAGTGATGTGGCATTAAATTTAATCAGTTCGCTAATTTTTGTCTGACTATAAACTTCCATTTCTACTTATTATTGTGTTCGTTCGTACCAACGTGCTTATATAAACATTGTATTCCGTTGGTTCCAACTTTATTAAAAAAAAAAAAAAAAAATTTTCTCTGAATAGAATAAAATTAAAAAAATATACAAAATTAAAAATTAATTAGTAATTACCATACCTACATTATACATAATTAATAATTATTAAAAATAATTTAAATAAATAAAATTATTATATAAGTAAATTGAAAATGAATGAATAAATAGAATCAACGTCAGTATATTTGCTGAATTTTTTTTTTTAATTAATTAAAATTTTATTTATATTTTTTTTTTAAATCTATGTTTATTTTTTAATAAAATGATAGGAATTACCTCTGATTGACCTTCTGGTCCACCTGCTTTCGGGGAACCAGTTTCAGATGCAGAAATACCATTTTCTGTTTCATATTGCCATGCGTATGAACCGTCAGGTGAACTATCGTGCGATTGGCTACGAATTCCTATTTGTCGTCCAGCACTTGAAAAATTATTTATAAATACAAATTCATTATTTAAATGAATTAAAAGTTTTTGTTTTGATTTAAAAAAAAAAGAAAATTTTGTCCTTCTACTTTTTGATTATTAAAATTTTTTTAATTATTATTTTTGCGATTTTGTATAAAATAAATAAATAAATTTTGATAACATCCTAATATATAATTAATTTTTAAAAAATGGTCAAATTGCTTTCAATTTTTTTAAAAAATAAAATATTTTTAGAAGAAAAACAAGTTTTATTTAAAAAATAAATTGTTTTTGAATGAAGCAAAATATTTTTAAATCGAAAACAAATGCATAATAATAAAAAAAAAATTATTTTAGAAATACATCAGAATTGCATTTAAATCAATTTTTAATAATATTTTATTATTGTAACTAAAAGAAATTAAATAATTATTAATATTTAAATTTTATTTTAATTTTCTGTTACTCAAGTTGTTAAATTTTGTCTTTATGTTTTATAATTTATTACAATTGAAATATTAAAAAAAAAAAAATTCTTTTCTATTTTGAAATTAAATTCGTAAAATCATATAATAACTTTAAAAAAAAGCAATTCTAAAAATTTTCAAAAGAATATATATATATATGTTAATATTTAAAAAACACAAATTGATGTGTTTTCGCAAAAAATATGTGATTTTATGTGCCAAAATCTAAACATTAAAATCCACTTTACACTTTATTCTATTTTACTATGGATTCAAAAAAGCAAACACAATATAAAGTGTTAAAATTTCACAATCTTTATATTGTTAGGAAACATTTTTTTTAGAATGGAATAGAATAGACAAACAAAAATATGTACAAATAAATAGTAAAAGTATTATTAAGGTAATAAAAGAAATTCTTCTTTTCAAATTGAAAAAAAAGTACTTTCGAAAAATTAAAAAAAAAAAGTGACAAATTTGTAAGAATAGTGCGATAGAAAAGTTTTTATTTGAACAAAAAAAAAAATGAATTTAAATATAAAAAATATATTTGTCTCAAAATTAAATAATTTTCGAAAATTTTGAATTTGAATTTTTAAATATTTTAAATAGTTCAAAATTTCAAAATCTTTTTTCTTAGAATGAATAACATTTTTTATTCGAACGAAAGAATTATTTAAAAAAATTTCCTTGAAATAAATAATTATTTATTTAGCTCTGAGGCAAATATACTCTCTAAATTTGAATTAGTGAGAATTCGTTCAATAATTAATATTAGTGAAAATTTCTTTTAATTTTTAGTCATTTTTCACTAAAACTATAGTAAAAAAAAATTTTACTAAATCAAATAGTAATACTTTACTAAAAAATTAGTGAAAATTTCTACTAATTTCAATTAGTGAACGAATTTGTTTCAAATAAAAAATTGAGAATATATTTTTTTTCTGATTAAATTTTTTTGATTTAAATGTAAAGAAATTTATTTATTTATTATTATAATTATTTTTATAATTATAATTTAGTAATAATAATAATAATAATAATAATAATAATAATAATAATAATAATACTTTTATAATTTTTTGATTTAAAAAAAAAAAAAATTGAAAAAATTACAATACTTACTTGTATTGTGGTTGTTGATATTGGGGTTGAAATTGTGGTTGAGGTGTCGTATAATATTGTTGTTGATTCTGTTGATAGGCACCACGATAGCCTCCAAACTGTGCGAATGAGCAGCCAATCACGGCAAAGACAATAATCTGCAAATATCACACAGATTCACTTTTTTTTTCCACAAAAATTAATTAATTTTTTTTTGTTCGCAAATTCGCAAAAAATATTTGTTCAAAATTACCCAGTTTAAACAAAAACCAAAAAAAAAAGGAAGAAAAATATTTATACAGTCCCCACTTTCCAAATAATTGAAAATCAGTAAATAATAATATAAAATAACAAATTTTAGACAAATTAAATAGAATAATAAAAAAAAAAGACCTAAAATTATCAATTGAATATTATTTATCACTGTTCGAGAGAGAATTTTTTATTTGATTAAAAAAAAATTGTTTATAATATCCATAATAATATGTATTACAATTTTGACAAATAAATTTTTAAAAAAATATTTAATTTTTTGATATTTAATTAAATGTTAAATTAATTTCCAAATTTAATTATTATAATTAAATATTATTACAATGATAGATAATAGTTTTTTTTAATTAGAAAAATTTCTTTGATATCCATAATACTCTCTAAATCTGAATTAGTAAACTGAAATGAAATGAATTAGTGACTCTCTTTTTGCTTCGAAATTAGTAAAATTTTACTAATTATTAGTAACTTTTACTAACATTTAGTAAAATTTAACTAATTCTAAAGCAAAAAGTGAGTAACTAATTTAAATTAGTAAACATTTTTACTAATTCAGATTTAGAGAGTAAGAAGTATTAAAATTTTAACATAAATAAATTTCTTAATAGTTTAATTTTTCATGATTTAATATGTTAAATTAATTTCTAAATAATAAGTTAATTATTAATTAAATATAATTTCTGTGTTAGAAAATAGTTTATTTTTTTCAATTAAATTTGTTTGATATCCATAAAAAAATGCAACAACTTTTAACTTGCTAAAATTTAAAAAAAAAAATTTTTTTTATCAATTTCCAAAATTAATTTCTAAATCCAAATTTTATTTTTTCTAATTTTTTTTCTAATTTAATTTTTGAATAATATTTTTATTATTTTTATTGAAATGATGTTTTTATTTTAAAGAAGCTAAAAAAATAGTTTCTTTTTTTTTTTTTAAATTTGTCAACTTCACACTCGCGTTTTATATACCGGCCGAAATAATATATATAATCACGTTTCACACACACGTTTTGAAGGATATGAAATTTGTATAAAAGAAAAATTAAAAAGGGGAACGAGAAACAGTTGTTTTTTTTCTAGAGAGAAAACAATAAGACGATATTATAAATGCAAACACTCACTAAAGTACGCATTATGAAAAATTTGCCACGGATTGTGGAGACGAGATTGGGTCAGTTGGAATCTGCATCCTGAAGACGAACAGTGCCCAGCATTTATACCAAAAGGCCCAGATCATTTCCCTTCCCATTCTCTGTTGGGTCTTGCGCATGTATTATATATATGTGTGTGTGTAATATAAATGTGGTAGTGATTCATAAAGATCTCCACCCCCACCCACCTCCCTTTTTAAGATGCTGTGTATGTGCCTCATCCTGCGCTGGAAGATCAATATGATCATCAACGCCGTCAACTTCACTTCTTTTCGCTTTTGCGAGACGTCAACTTTTCTGACACCCATATAGTCATACAGTATTATCACTTAAAAGAAACCTTTTTAAATTATCATTTTTTTTTTTTTTTTTCATTTTTAATCCATACTCCGACATTTAATTTCGATTTCTTTCACTTTATCACATTACATGTGCGCCTTCTTTTATATATTCTTGCATATAACTTTCCCCCTTATAACTTCATAGTATATATATATATATATATATATATATATATTGAAAAGAAGATGTAAACATGTTGCATGAGAAAAAAAATCTCTGCCTCTTATATTCGTTGATATAATAAATTTACTTTTGAAAGCTTATTTCATTTAATAAGTGCGTAAATATGGGATCGTCTGTTTCAAAGATCCATTAATTACTTCTTTTAATTTAAATATAAGATTTTTTCTTTTTTGGCGAGAATTACAGGCGAGATAATAATCAATATATTAAAAATTATAATTTGGTAAATATATATATATATATATATATATAATTGTTTCCGCTTATAACACTTTTTCTTGCATTTTTTTTAAAGTAATGAGTTACTTTACAAAAAAAGAATTATTTGATTCAAATAATCGGTTACTTGACTGTTACAAGCGTAGAAAAAGTTTGCTGTAGCAGCGAAATATTTTCTGTCACATTAAACTACGTTAGCTAATATTAGGGACAGCAAACAAATTTGCTGTGGGGTCAAAAAAGTTTGCTGTGGCAGTAAATTTTAAAAAATTAAGACTGATATATTGTTTATCACAGCAAACTTTTTTGTTGTCATAGCAAAAATTACTAATTAATTAATACTAATTAATTACTAATTACTAATTACTAATTTTTATAGATCCGATAGCAAGTATCAGTTAGCGTCTGTAAACAATTTCGCGCTTTCTTTTCCGTGTATTAAATAAATATTTTCTTGAACAAAATAAACTGTATTTTTGAATCAATAATTTCTGTATTTGAAATAATTACCATTTAATTGACACAAATAATATCTATTTATTCAAAAAAAGTGAACGGGACAAAATTATTATTTTATTTGCAAAAGCCAAGTGCAAGTCCAAAACCCAATATATGAGTGAAGGAGAAATAGATAGACTATCTATCTCTCTTGCACTCATGGGATTTGCATTTGCACTTGCTTTTTGCACTTATTGTAAAACCTCCTTAAAAGAAAATAAAAGTTTCATATCCTCAAAAGTAAAAAGTTTTTTTTTTTTTTTTTTTTTTAAGAAGAAATGTGCTGCAAATTGCGAAGACAAGCAAGCTTTTGCAAAAAAAACCCACACAGCACATTATATTTCCTCAACATTTCATGAATATTTCATTGAAATATTTGAAATATTTCAATGCAAGGTTCATGAAATGTTGAGGAAAACAGGAAAATGTCCGCCTATATAAGAAATATTGCAGTGCAATTTTGCTGAAATATTACACTTTAATACTCCTGCAATATTACACATGAAGACTCTGCAATATTCAGGAAACATTTCAAAGAAAGTTAGAAACTTTTTTCGCGCATCATTTAAGTTGGAAATTTTCTATAATATTTTAATGAAATATTTCAGCAAAATTACAAGGCAATATTTCTTATAGGCGGACATTTCCCTAATTTCAGTAATATTTCAACCCTAATAACACCAGATATCTTGGGATATATTGATAATATGCCGCAGATATCCTAGGGATGTCCTATGGATATCAAAAGGATCTCTTAAGGATATCCAAAAAATCGGCGGTTTGGATATCCTTTGGATATCCCATGGATATCTTCTGGATATCTCTATAGACTTTCATAAATGTCCTCCAGATATCCCATAGATATCGTCAGGATATTCCACAGATATTTTCAGGATATTCTCAGTATATCTTCTGGATGTCAAGAAGATATTCTCAGGATACTGTTTTTAAAGTCATTATGAGACTACGAGTGAGAATATTCTGTGAATTAAATTTTATATAAATAAAATAAAATGCAACTTGTTATTCGAGAAAGTTGTTTAATTTGAAAAATTATTAACTAATTTTTTTCTCATTCGTGATTCATTCCTTTATTCATATGCTTAATATTGTCAGAAAATAAATTGGCTTTAAACAATATAAATTCTTCCCCGCAAATAACGAATAACTATTAATATTAATTATACATTAAGTGCATGAGTTTATTTAAAAACTTTGAAAAATGCGTTTCAAATCTTCATTTAAAATAAATTAGAAGCTCATAAGATTTTTCTTTTTATTATATTATTATTCATTATATTAGCTTAACAATTTTAACCTTTAAAAAAATATATGTTGAGATATTAAATATCCCGTGAATATCCTAAGAATATCCCACGGACATCCTGAGGATATCCCATGGATATCCTGCGATATAATATCCAATAGATATTTTGTTGATGTCTTAGGGATATCCTGTGGATATCCTATGGATATCCCAAGATATCCTGGAAACCATTCTAGGATATCTACCATTGATATGGATATCCTATGGATATCCTAGGGATATCCTTTTGTTATGAGGGAGAAATATAAATTAAGAATAAAAATTAATACTGTGTAATATATTATATATGTACTTACAAAGACAATATTTAAATATAATATTGATATTAGCATTCATCAAATTATCATGAAATGTACTTAAAATTAAAAAGAAAATATTTTACCTATGAGGATATAAAACTATTATTTTCTTTAACAATACAATTTTTATATGACTTCAACAAAAAGATGTTTATTAATAAGAAAGCTGAAATTCTAGGAATAATGCAACACGTGAAATGAATAAATTTTTTATATAGTTGTCAATGGATGCACGCACCTCAGCGATCACTACCAGATAGTATGTAAGCTTACAGCAAGCTTGCCGCCCAATAATATATAATCCTTGAAAAAATATCGGTTTTGCGAACAATAGTAATTTCATCATTTAACAACTCTAAGTATAAAAAATTAATAAAATTTAGTTTGATAAATCAGACGCATGAAAAAGCTCTAAATCAATTTTTTTTTAGATATTATTCTATAGAATATTATTTTTTCAGAATATTAAATTGTTAAAATATTAATTTTGCACAATTTTCACTAAACCAATTATCAATGTTGGTGAAATTTTATTTAGACGAAAATTAATTTACAAGAAATTAAATTTGATGCAATTTGTAAAAAATTAATATTCTTTCTAAATCTTCTTTCTGCAAAATTAAAATTCTTTTAAATTACTAAATTCTTCAAAATTAATATTCTATGAGGCAACCTTTCGATCAAAATTCAATTTTTGGTAAATTATTTTTCGCCGAAATAAAAAAATTCTGTCCAAATTTGATTTTAGACCATTTGAATTTTCTTAATCATTAATATTCAAACAAAATTAATATTCTATGAGACAATGTTTCCCACAAATTAAGATTCGATTAAATTTAATCGAATTTAATTTCTGGCAAATTAATTTTCGTCTAAATAAAATTTCTAGAAAATTGGTTTAAATGGAAATTGGGTCAAAAAGTAATTCAAACAAATATAAAAATTCGACTAAAAAAAAATTCTATGTAATAAAATTCTTTCAAATAAAAATTCTAACAAAAATTAATTTTAGAAATTATTAATGTGTCTCGATAATAACAAAAACAAGAATAAGAACAATAATATAATTATATTTTCTAATTTGTCATTAATGAGAATTCGTTCAATAATTTAAATTAGTAAAGTTATTTACTAAAATATTACTATTTGATTTAGTGATATTTTTGGTTACCAAAGTGTTAGTAAAAATTGACTAAAAATTAATAGAAATTTTCATTAATTTGAATTTAGAGAGGAACTGTAATATTTTAAATAACAGATTAATCTCTACCAAGTATAAAATTACGACTAATTATATGCATTTGAAGTATAAACTTGATCAATAAATAAAAATTTATAATATCAAGATCACGAATTTCTCAGCAATTTAAGTCGTGACAGATCATTGTTAAGATATTTCGCATAAATTAGCGTCAATCATATATAGGTATATGTATTACTATATATATATATATAGATATTCTTCTGTTCGGATGTTCAGTTTGTAACAATGTTCTGACCTTTCTGTAAATATGCATGGAGGAACATATTTCATGCCCTATTAAAGATCAGTCGGCTGACATGAAATGCTTGTTACTTGTGTAAAAACATCTGTTACCGATCACATATAAAATCAGATTATTATTTTACACATAATTTATATATTTAATTATATATCTATATACATTATTTTATAATAATTATTCTATATATTATTATATAGAATTTTTATTTGTCCAAAATTGCAAATGGCCGAACAAACAATCGACAGAAAGATATATTTCAGAGCGATTTTTAAAATCAGCCAATCAAAAATTATCCATAAAATTGTGATTGGTTGATTTTAAAAATCGCGCCAAAATCGATTGTTTGTTCGGCCATTTGCAATTTCGGACAAATGAAAATTCTATCAATTAGAAATTCTGTTAAATGATTTTTCGGTTAAGTAAAAATTCTGTAATGTTAAAAATCGGTTATATGGAAATTCTATCAAATAATAATTTGAGCAAATAAAAATTCATCTGAAAGAATAAAATATAAATTCTATGCAATGAAATTCTACCCAATAAAAATTCTTTAAAATGCCTATTATGTTAAATGAAAATTCAAATAAATACAAATTCTGTGAATTGAATTTTCGGTTATATAAAAATTCTGTAATATAGAAAATCGATTTGATGAAAATTCTTTAAAATACTAATTCGAATAAATAAAAATTCGGCTCAAAAATAATTATGA